GGGGAAGCCAGAGGTCTGACTGCTTCCCTTCCTGGGGCCTGGGACTCAGGGTCCAGGATTCCTCTGGATCCTAGGAGAGGCCAGGCCAGGGCCACTGGGAGCGCCAAGCAAAGGCTGCACCCACATCTCAGGCTTGCCCAAGTGGCCCAGGTGCCAACCCTGGCCCCATCCTCCTCTCCAGGGCCATCCTTGGCACTGCCAGCTCCTAGCTAATGTCTGGATGAGTGACGGAGGTTGCCAGGGTCTAGATACAGGAACGGGGCTAGGAGCAGGGGTTTCTTTCTATGTGCAAGGAGGCCCCGGAAGAAAAGGGAAAATCGGGGGAAGGAGAGGTTCTCATGGAAACACTGTGTGGGGCCAGGGCCATGTAGCACCCTCTAATTTGTGGGGCTGGGCTGACAGCTCCCCTGGGGTGACAGAGTGACTGGGTGTGGGGCAGGTGGGGAGGGAGGGCAGGAAAACCTGTCCTTCCTGTCAGGTGAGCCTCCCTGCCTGCCTGCCTCTCTCTCAACACTATTTTTAAAGCATAACCAGAGGCTTACCACACTCCCACCCAACTGCTCGGGGGGACGGGGAGGGAGTTCACCCAAAGAGTCCTACACTAGTGAAGTGGGAAGGGAAGAGGGCCTTCTCCTCCAGAGGCAGGCCAATGTAGCAATGGCAAAGAGCAGGGAGAGAGTCTTTCCCAATACTTAGAAATGCTTCTGAATTTTAATAGAAACTGATTTTTAAATGATCTTACATAGAAACTAAGTTTTAAAATGTACTGAATTTATATTACCCTAGTGTACAAAATGTAGTTTCTTTGGTTCCTTCTGAGGCTATTTTATCTTGCTAATGTTCTCCCTTTGGAAATCCATTGGTATAAGAAACACCAAGATATTAATGATAGGATATTAATAACCACATTTGTATTGTGGTTTATACAGTGACTTTGGGCTTAGTATTGCATTTGATTCTATCCCTAAGTGTGTGAGGTGGGATTAGAATTCTCGTCTTGCAGATGAGGAAGTGGGGACTCAGAGATGTTGTTCGGGTTGATGGAGACCTAACCTGGGCTCCAGGATTCAGGCTTCAAGCCCCGCTCTGCTCCCTCCCCTTCTCCCACAGTGAGCTCCACAGCATCATCTGATCCAGGGATTTCTAGGCCCACAGGAGAAAAGGGCAAGTGAAACTGCTTCCTATTCCAAGTCTAGCCCAGCTCGGAGCAGCTGAGCCCACACAGACCCAGTTTAGATGGGTTCAAACCCTTATATTTATATTGAGCTTTAGACTTATCTTATGTGTCATTTATTTCTCCACCATATGAGGAAGATATGTTTCCTTTAATTTGGCAGAAAAATAAAGTTAGGAATCAGTGGGAAATGGGACTTCATTGCATGTCCTAACGCCTTCTCTCAGGTTCTCTCTGCCATACCTCTCTAGCATTCCTTACCCTCAGGCTACCCCAGGACCACCCCCAAGGCCCAGCACAGTGTTGGGTTCTTAGGTACTGGCCTGAGTGACTTAAAGCCATTCATCTTTCCCTCCAGCTCCTCATAAGCAGTCTGGCCAGGCCTGCAGAGAGGAGCCTCTGCTGTCTGTCATCCAAAGACAGCGATGGAAATAGCCTTCTTATCTCTGTAATCAACATGGTCATTGAAACCTTCAAACTCAGTAGAAACTTCTAGAAAAAAAAGATATATTTACTGAGAAAGAGGAATGGGGAAATAAGAGAAGAACTGGAGAGGAGAAATAGAAGAGAAGGAATAGGTACAGAGAACAGGTGGGGGCAGTGCCCAGGGTGAGAAATTGAATGGAAACTTGCAGGGTCCAAGGACTCCCCACTAGGTGTCCACTCTTCCCAACTCTAGAGACCTCTCTCATGTTCCCTATGCCTAAGAATAACTCCTGAGTTGGGCCATAAGGGAGTCTGATTTGCTTTTGACCCCATTTAACATCCTCAAGATGCTGTGGCCTCCACAGCCATCCATCTGTACTTCCAGGCCACAGATACTAATCAGTGTCCCCTCCAACTTCAGGGCTGCAATAATTGGCTCTTTGCTTAGAGTAAAGTACTCTAGGAGATTCCATAACTCATGGGAATGTTGCTCTGATGCTAATGGCTACTGTGCAAAATTTCAGTTTTAAGAGAACATTAAGCTGAACGAGAAAGATACATCTCCTCGGGAAGAACTTGAAGAAGGTGACTGGTAACCTGAGTCGACTGCTGCACAGGTTAAAGGCATCTGCACTTGGTTCCACAGATGCTCCTGGAGTTTGCAGAAGAATACTCACTACCGTGCTTTGGTGTCACTACTGCTGTGATGGCCACTTAATTATTGGGAACAAACCCAAGGTAGGAGAGCTGGAATGTCATGACTAAAAGATGAGGGTCACATCCCATTCATCTCCAGCACAGGCATTACTGTCATCCTCAAAATGCCCTATCAGGCACTAACTTAGGTGGTCTAAGTACTGCACAAAGTCAGTAGCAGCTGATAGTCTAGCATGGGCAATAATAACTAAATCTCTGCAAAAGGTCTTTTGAGTTGCTCCTGTATGACCTGACATTTGCTTTGTGGATTATAAGAGAAGACTCTGTCCTAATTCTCAACCCAGAATGCTCTTCCTTCCCTGTTCTAACTAGCAAACTCCTGGTCACCCCTCAAGATGCAGCCAAAATGTCACCTTTTCTAGAAGCCTTCCCTAAGTTCTCCTCCCTCCCACCTCCATCCCCAGGCAGAGTTATTTCCCATTCTGAGCTCCCAGAAAAATGGGGTCTTCTCTTTGGAGGCATGGTGGTTTTGTTTAGAAGTCTGTCTCCAACAGGAGAGAGTGAGCTTTAGAGGGTAGGGCCATGTGTCATTCAGCTTTCTCAGCTGAGTTTCAACCACGGCCATTCATATGGACTGGACAGTCAATAAAGGCCAACGAATAGAAGAATTAATAGATGAAATTTATTCAACAAAGATCAGAATGCATGCAGTCAAAGAGGATGGTGCCTCAAGCACAGTGGAATTTGAAAAGGAAATTGGAAAGCTGCATTGTGTAAGCATTATCATTTTATTACTTATAAAATGAGTTTTCTACTCTTAACAGGCAAAGCTAACTTGGAATTGTGTACGGCTCTTTTCATTACTCTTATAATTAGGCTCTTAATTATTCTTTAAAACCTTGGGCACATGAACTTCACTCTGTAATTCTTTTATACACAGTGCACTCTGGGCTCTCTGCCTTGAGGTCATCTACTTAGAGATTTACCCCTGACATGTTTTTAGGCCAGAAGGCATCTCTTCACCATAAATTACTATCTGATCAGGATGCATTTTAATCTAGCCTAAGATGGAAGTAATTAGGAGAGCTAATCTGGTATCATATAAAATTAACAATTAAAATTAAAATTAACATTTTAATCTAGCCTAAGATGGAAATAATTAGGAGAGCTAATCTGCTATCATATAAAATTAACAATTAAGATAGGGCATGCTGGCTGGGTGCAGCAGCTCACATCTGTAATCCCAGCACTTTGGAGGCTGAGGTGGGCGGATCACTTGAGGCCAAGATTTCGAGACCAGCCTGGCCAACATTGTGAAATCCTGTCTCTACTAAAAATACAAAAAGTTAGCCAGGTATGGTGGCGCATGCCTGTAATCCCTGCTACTCAAGAGGCTGAGGCACAAGAATCACTTGAACCCAGGAGACGGAGGTTGCAGTGAGCGGAGATTGTGCCACTGCACTCCAGCCTGGGAGACAAAGTGAAACTCTGTCTCAATACAAAAACAAAGAAGATAGGGCATGCCAAGACCCACTGCCTAAAGGTTTTGAAATGTCTGTATCTCGTCTTCCTTCCACTGGGTAGATCATTGAGCACATAGGGGCCAGATGGCCTTGAAACCCCAGGATTCATGCACCACAGACTACAACCCTCTGAGGAAACCAAGAGAAAATCCTTGGAGTTTAAAATCTGAAGTATTTACAGTCACATTCTCAGCATTGCATCCCTGGTTTTCTTCAAACGGCAAAGACAGAGGTATGCACTTAAGAGAAATGAAAAGTTTACAGTGAGGTTTGTGTAGAACCCTATTTCTGAGCTTGGCAGCAGCAAGGTATATGAGCATGTACAAGTGTGTATGTGCAGGTGCATCTGGGGACATGTCAGTGTGTGCTTTAGACATCACCCCTGTATCTCTGTTCTATAACACCATGACTTCAGAAGGACCCACATTCAGTCCCCAGAATGATGCAGATATAGAAGGCCCTTACAAAGTCACTGGGAATCATAAAGCGGCAAACATTTTCCTCATTCTTAGTATATTATTTATTGAGTGTCCATTTTATGCCAGGTGCCCTGCTAGGCATTGAGGACGGCCAAGACATTTTCCCATCTAGCACCTCTACCCCATCCCCTTACTTGCCTCATCTTGGCCCCTGTAGGGTAGGAGGGAGAAAAAAACAAGGAGTAGGAGAGGCCTCCCTGTCTGCCTTCCTTCCTTCCTTTTTCCTTCCCTCTTCCCTTGATCCTTCCCTTCCTTTCTCCCTCCTTCTCTCCCTCCCTCCATCCTCCTTCCCTCCTTTGTTTCTAGCATGGATGAAATATCTCTTTGATCTTCCCTGGCCATGGCTGGTGCTTCCCTCTTTGGTATCTTTGTCACCTTGCATGTAACCTTCCTGGTCCCCTGGGACTGCAGTCCTCATGGCTCCAAAGGGGCCTCACCTTCAGCTGGTCACTTATGGTCCTCCTTCAGCCTCTATCTCTAGTTGCACCTCCACCTTTTTCTGCCAAGGTCTTTTTGAAGAAGCCCGTGTGGACAGAGTCCCCTTAAAAATTGCTGGGCACAGTGACTACTTGGGAGGCTGAAGCAGGAGAAGTGCTTGAGCCCAGGAGTTCAAGGCTACAATGTGCCATGATCACACCTGTGAATAATCACTGCACTCTAGCCTGGGCAACATAGCAAGACCCTCACCTCTAAATTTTTTTTAAATTCTAGGTGGTTATTCTTTTCTTTTTTTTTCTTTTCTTTCTTTCTTTTTTTTTTTTTTTTTTTTTAGGTGGAGTCTCTGTTGCCCAGATAGAGTGCAGTGGCGTGATCTCGACTCACTCGACTCACTGCAACCTCTGCCTCCCAGGTTCAAGCGATTCTCCTGCCTCCTGAGTAGCTGGGATCACAGGCACCCACCACCACGCCTGGCTAATTTTTGTATTTTTAGTAGAAACAGGGTTTCACCATGTTGGCCAGGCTGGTCTCGAACTCCTGACCTCAAGTTATCTGCCTGCCTCAGCCTCCCAAAGTGCTGGGATTACAGATGTGAGCCACTGTGTCTGATCCTAGGTGGTGATTCTTCTTGCAGGTTCCACATCCGGTACCTGCATGCCATGTGCCATACTGGACCCTGTGATCACTGCCCAGATCTCCCCTTAGGAATGAAGGACACATTCCCCCAGATGCTGTTGCTCAAGGTCACAGCCTTTCCCCAAGGTCAGCCAGAAACAATGATCGATCTGTGGCAGGGGTAGAAAGGTCCCTTGGCTCTGTCTTGGGACAACTCTGAAGGGCCATCCCAGCTTCAGATCTGGGCAGTGGGGGTCCACTTCTCTCTATGATCCTGCTTCTTCCCTTTTCCTCCTCTGGGTGCTATCCCAAGAGCACTCTCTAAAAAACCTTCCTCACATTAATCTTCCCCCTCAGAGTCATCTTCCAGGAAACTCAACCTGCCACACACTCCCTTGCCATGATATAGGCAAGAGAGAGTGACTTCCAAATGGAAACATCCTCTACAATAGGCCTCTTCAGCCAGCTGCTCACCAGTGGGCAGTCTCCTGTGTTCCACAAGCTCCAGGGACACATATCAAGCTCTGTGTGTGGTCTCAGGTAAGCCCTAGTCACTGGACTTAAGAGACAGGAGCAAAGCATGTCCTCTCTCCATGGTATGGGGAGGAAAACTGACCACAATGTTGACAACCCAATCCTAGAACTCCAACTTCGAGTCTTCTTCTGTATCAATCCATGCACTCCCTTGAGGTGGACAGTGGCTGGAGAAGGCATGCAAAATCATTTTCAAGGAGCTCTTTCTTGTGTTCTACATTTTGGAAGTGGCAGTAGTTGGCATTGATTGTCTTGGGAACTCAGCTGAAACTGAAGTAGGAAGAGGCCCATTTTAACATTTTGCTACAGGCCAAAGCAATGCCACAGGATAGGGAGGGTGTCTCTGACTATGCCCCCACCGGCCCTGTCCTCTATGCCTGTCTTAGCCAGGTGCCAGAGAAAATTGGATGCTTGGGGCCCAATGTCATCATTTTTAGCGATACAGCACCTTCATTTCTACTCATGCCTTTTTCTAAGGTGGGGCTGGCATGTCCTTCTTATCGGCCATTCCTTCCACATGGGTGTTATTTTATCACCTCAGAGGTCACACTCATTAGCCCGGCAGCTGGGCCAGTCCAGGCTAGGCTTCTCCGGGTCCTAGCAGTGGACATGGCTGGGACTCCAGATTTTCTGGTTGTTCACCACCACTAAATTCTTACCACTCCTATTGTTTAGGCTATAAGATTTTGCTCTCAAGTTTCACATTAAACAATTTTAAGAGCATATCAATTGTATATATTTACCAATTTAAAAATTGGGGGAGGAAAAGGAATTACCATGTCAAAAGATACCTGATTTTGGAAGCCTTAAAAAATGTGTATTCAAAATCTGGGAAATGCAGTGTGTACCCAACTGAACTATGTTCTCTTGGAGGGAAGGAAACCACCAGTGCTCTCTTCCACAGACTGATGTCTTATGCTGTGGCCGGAGGCAGCAGAGCACATTGGCCCTGGACCAATGACTCCTTTACCATTGGTTGAATGACATTTATAAATGCACAAGCCCCTTCATAGGCAAAACTTCATCCCTAAGCCTAGGAATGGAAGGTGTTAGTCTCCAAGTCATCAATATACAGGCGTGAGGAATGGAGAAGCTGGGGTTCTTTAAAACTGCATCCTTCATACCAGTAAGTACTTAGGAATTCAAGTGGGAAAAAAAGTTTGACTCTTGCCTCAAAAAAAAAAAAAAAAAAAAAATCGCAGAACTCTTTTTGAAAGATGACAAATTCTAGATTTGTGGGGTCAAAAGTCACAACATTTAAAAGACGATACAGCACATGTCTGTGTGGAATATCTCACAACATTGGCCTAAAGCCAAACACAGGGGGCAGAGTTTTCTGGACCTGGAGTTCAGTGACAGGGAGTGTGAAGATAGATTTTGTAAAGTCACAAAAGGGGCTGGTTTCATTTGGATGGAGTAACATGCAAGTGTGAGGGAAGGAGTGACTCAGGCAAGGCTTTTCATAAAGGAGGAGCCTCTGCCAGCTTGTCCTCTCTCCCATCTCTGCTCCCTACCTCCCCTGCTCTCTCCACCCCCAAACCAATGAAATAGACAGACAAGGGTCAGATGGGTATTACGTGAGATAACGCATGTGGCAGGACAGAGGCCAGTGTACTTGCAAGGCCTCTCTTGCCTCACCCTGGTCCCAACTCCAACATGTGACAATGCATTGGAAGTTGTAAGGTACTAATGAGATAGCCCATCCTTCCAAGAGCTCTTCCTGTTAGATCCCACCCATTCCAACCTAATTTCCAACCGCATCCTGGAACATACTGTTACTTCGATGGGACTACTGAGGCCATCTTTCTTCCACCAGCCCACTGCATCCCAGGTGCTTGCTCTCTGCCAGGTTTGTAAGTTCACACTTTATTCTATCCCATCCTCCTGAGGGCACACCCTACAAAGAAGAGAGGAAGCAAGAGAACCAGATTGGTCCCTTGTCAAAACAAATACGTGTTTCACTGGTGCCACAGCTTTTGTTCCCAAACCATCCAATCCAGAGCTGGGGGGCAGGTAGGGAGATTTGCTGGGAGGTGGGCAGTTTGCTCCTATTTTAAGCAGCTTGGAAGCTTTGCTTACTGGTGTCCTCTGCTGCCCTCTGTGGCCAAAACATCAGTGTCTCTAAAGACACCTCTCTAAATCCGGGGACCCAGCTCCCCATCCCCCACTCCCTCCCCCAGCATCACCTTTCAAAGTTTTTCTCCTTTAGTTCTCTACGGGCTCTAAAAAGTAAAATTGGATGTAGCCTAGCCACAGCCTGCATCTGGTTTACACTCTCAGCTCCTTCCTGCAAAGGTTATTGAGCTGAGTCCTGGAAGAAATCTTAGGCCACCCAGCTCTGCTCTAAGCAAGAGCTTTTGAGAATTTATATACAGTTTTTGGTGAATCTCAGACACTGCCAAAATCCTAGACTTGGCAAGGCACAGTGGCTCATGCGTATAATCCCAGCACTTTGGGAAGCCGAGGTGGGTGGATCACATGAGGCCAGGAGTTCGAGACCAGGCTGGCCAACATGGCAAAACTCCATCTCTACTAAAAATACAAAAATTAGCCGGGTGTGGTGGTGCACATCTATAGTCCTGGCTACTTGGGAGGCTGAGGCACGAGAATAGCTTGAACCCGGGAGGTGGAGGTTGCAGCGAGCCAAGATTGTGCCACTGTAATCCAGCCTGGACAACAGAGTGAGACTGTCTAAAGAAAAAAAAAAAAATCCCAGACTCAGTGCCAGCTGTTTGCCTTAGCTTGGGGAGCTTTCACTTACAGGGTGCAGTCTGGCCAAGAGGAAGGAGCTATATAATATGGTTGATGAAATTTCCAACCTTTAAGTTCAGGGGTACATGTGCAGGATGTGCAGGTTTGTTACACAGGTAAATGTGTGCCACGGTGGTCTGCTGCACAGATCATCCCATCACCTGGGTATTAAGCCCAGCATCCATTAGCTATTCTTCCTGATGCTCTCCCTCCTCCCACCCCTCACCCTCTGACAGGCCCCAGTGTGTGTTGTTCCCCCCAAGTGTCCACGTCTTCTTAGGTTGATGTGGTCTTGAGTGATCCCTCCTTGCCTTTCCTCTTTCAAGACAAGATCTAAAAAGTTATGTTCTCTATGCGTTGGAGGTATTGCCTTAATCTGTCAAGCACAGTCCAGGATGAAGAGGCTGCTGTGGTGAACTACTGTAGGCACCTGGAAGCCACCAAGGTGCCCTTTTCCCACAGCCTAGTCCCAAGTAAGGGAAATAAGCTTATGGTTAAGGGAGAACTGTCTACCAATTTGAATTCATTAAAATACATAAATGTGTCCACTAGAAATGGCTGGCTGGAGAAGCCCAGTACGAAATCACCCCATTCCTGAAACCCACCAGCCCCATGAAATAGTTCACTAGAGAGCAATTTGCAATCTTTGAATTCGTTGACTATCAATCTGTATAGGTGCTCCGTGGCCCCGAGATCTGAGAAAATGACAAAATACGTCTACTTCCCGGCCGGTCACAGTGACTCACGCCTGTAATCCCAATACTTTGGGAGGCCAAGGCGAGCAGATCACTTGAGGTCAGGAGTTTGAGACTAGCCTGGCCAACATGGTAAAACTCCTGTTTCTACTAAAAATGCAAAAATTAGCTGGGGGTGGTGGTGGGCGCCTTTAATTTCAGCTACTCTGGAGGCTGAGCCACAAGAATCGCGGGAAGCGGAGGTTGCAGTTAGTCGAGATCCAGCCACTGCACTCCAGCCTGGGCGACAGAGACAGAGCGAGACTCAGTCTCAAAAAAAAAAAAAAAAAAGTATTTCCCAATTCTTCGTCCGTTTTCCTCTGTCCCCACTTTGCCTTCTCCAGATTCCTGAAAAGTATCTCCCCCAACCCTTTCTGTGTACACGGGGAAAATACGCGTTCATTTTTGTTGGGGCACTGAAACCTACCCTTCTCTTCAAATCGTTTACGTAGATTGTTCTAGTATAAAATGTGGCAAGAGGTTAAAGGGAGAGATACAGACCAGTTCTCTGGCCCTCGCTTTCCCTTCAAGTTACACCTGTGAAACTCATGGGTCCTTCCACAGGCTTCAAAAACTAAGGGCGTCCCCTGTCCTCTCTCCAGATGTCCCTTCCCCATCGCCAGTAGCGAGTGGGAGACAGCTCAGCGCGGGGGAGGGGAGCACTGGGCCCAGAGATTGAAGGCAGCGTCAAAAGCGCTGCTGGAAAATCCCTGAGCGCTAACCCTTGCCTGCATAAGCCCTTAAATCTACGAATTTCCAACACCTGTAGCCTTTGCGTTCCCCAGGACTTCAATCGACCCTGGCGATAGAGAGGGCAGGCCTGAGATGCAGTGACTTGAGGGCACGTGGCCAACTCTGTCACTCCAAGATCACACTGGGGAACCAGACTGACTTCTCCAATTCTGAACTCGCCCCGGCCCGCGCAGGAGCGGCGGGGTGCCGAGAGCAGGGACAGAAGGTCGGGCGGCTCAAAGGGCCTCCTCTCCCGCATCCCTGTCAAAACCAAATCGCCTGGCACAAGCCCGTAAGCAACCACTGTACTAGGAGAGGGAAGGAAGGGCAGGCGCAGTCTAGATCAATTGATCCCTAGATCAATTTCCTTGCGCTGTTTCTCCCAGACAGTCAATTCAGCTGCGTCTCACCGAAAAGGGCGCATCGCCCACGCCCGAAACGCAGCCGCGAGGGGCCGAGAAATCATCCCCACCTGGCCCGAGGCCCACGTCACGGGGCCAGGGACGCGGGAGCGCAGCAGCGTGGAGGGGCTCCGGGCCGGCCGGGCGCTGCCCGCGGTCCTGCCCTCGTTCCAAGGGCACAGCGCCGGTAGGAGGACAACGACGCTGTGGCGGAACTGCCGCCCCCGGCAGCAATCCTGGAGCCCTGCTCCCGGCCGCCCCTCAGCCCCGTGCAGGCCGCGTCTCCCTGATGCGGAGTCCCACCCCACTACCCGCCGCCCAGACGACCTCATAAACAAGTCCTGGAAGTGCGGAGGCAGGAGGCGGGGCGCAGCGCGGGGGCAGGGGGCGGGCCGGGGTCAGGGCAGAGGCTGCGGCCGCGCCTCCCCATTGGCCAGGACGCAGTGAGCTGCCCGGAGCGCGGCGCGGGCGGGGCCTGCCGGCGCGTGCCCGCCCCCACCCCCGCGCCGGTGCCCGCACCCCGCCCTCCGCGCCCGCCCAGTGCCCGCCCCGAGCCGGCCGACGGAGTTTTTAAAGTGGGCTGGCGGCCGCAGGAGCCTTACACTCGCGAGCGGCCCGCCACACAGCTCCGGCGCCCGCCGCTCTCCCGCCCCAGCGCTACTGAGGCGGCCGTACAATCCTCGGCAGTGTCCTGAGACTGTATGGTCAGCTCAGCCCAGCCTCCGACTCCTTCCGACTCCCAGCATTCGAGCCACTTTTTTTTTTCCTTGAAAACTCAGAAAAGTGACTCTTTTTCCAGGGAAAAAGGAACTTGGGTTCCCTTCTCGCCGTCCTTTTTTCGGGTCTGACAGCCTCCACCCACTCCTTCCCCGACCCCGCCTCCGCTCGCAGGTTCCTCCCCGTCACCTTTCTCCACCCCCACCCCCGCACCTAGCCCGCCGCGCGCCACCTTCCACCTGACTGCGCGGGGCGCTCGGGACCTGCGCGCACCTCGGACCTTCACCACCCGCCCGGGCCGCCGGGAGCGGACGAGGGCCACAGCTCCCCACCCGCCGGGAAGCCCAGGTGCTCGGCGTCTGAACGTCTCAAAGGGCCACAGCGACAATGACAGCTGACAAGGAGAAGAAAAGGTAAGCGGGCGTCCGGGCCGACCAGGGGGCCGGTCAGGGGCCGGTCCGAGGCCAGTGCCGGGCTGCGCTGGGCAGGCGCGACCGAGAGTGTTTGGGAGAAGAGTGCGGAGAGGTGTTTGGAACTCGAGGCTCGGTTTGGAGGGCTGTGAGGGGGAGAGCATGTGCCCGGTTTGGGGGCGCGGAGCAGCAGCTTTGCAGTGGAGACTTCTGTGGCTCGGAGGAGTCGGGGATCCGCGCGCGCAGCGAGGCCAGGAGGCCGAGGGAGATGGCCTGGAGGTCGGAGGTGCTTCCGCGGTGCCTTTGAAAATCTCCCAGCCACCCTGCACCAGATTACCGTGGCCACTGGCGCTTGGAAATGTTTGTGGGTGCATGTCCTCGACTTTCTCTGGTCTCTCATGTTGGGGCAGCATCCACGTCTCTATTTTTCTCTGGATTCCCGGGGTCCTTCCAAATGCGCTCCTACGCCCGCGCCGTGGCCCAAATGGGCAAGGGGGGCGGGAGGCGGAGAGCGGCTCAGGGACAGAATCCCACCGAAGAGCCAGGACCCTTCAGAGCGCCCCGCTGCCCGGCTCCACACCCCACTGGAGGTTGGAGAACCCACTTCCCTCGTGCCGCACCTTAACTCTGGGGAGAGTAGGTAGTGAGTGACCTGGATTGCCCTGCGGGGGCAGGTGGTTCGGTGTGTAGGGAGCGGACAGCAACACTGGACGTCCCTGGCAGGTCCGGGTGTCTGTCTCCTAAGAGGACAGGGAAGGGCAGCCACGATCTGCCCGCCTGCTCTCGCGAACCTCTCGGCACTGGGTGAGAGGCAACTCCGGCCAACTCTTGCTGCCCTCTCGCCCTCTCCCGGCCGCTCCCAGTCCAGCCGGGCCTGGCGCTACCCGAGCGAGGGTTCGAGCCCTCTGCGCGGCGGGGCAGAAGCAGGTAGGGCCTCATCTTCTGCATATGTGTGCGGCTCGCCGCCTGTCCCCTTTCTCCTCCTGTCTCCACCCCTGCGGCCCCAGTGGCCTGGAGCTTCCAACCCCGCGCTCGGCCGCGGCTTGGCGAGGCTATGCTGCGGGAAGCTGGAATCCAACGCGCGGCCGGCTGAACCGCCTGAGCCGCAGGAAACCAGCGGCAGGGCGGTAGTGAAGAGGTGCGAGGATGAGGAGGGCCCACCTGCGAAGGAAGGGAGGTGACTGGCCGGGAGGGCTCACTGCCGAGGTTGATTTGCTCTTGTTCCAACTTCCACTACGGGACTGGAGCCAGAAACCTTGTATCCTCCGGTCGAAAGCGGCGGTTCCCACCTCGGGGCACCGATAAGGATTTGATAAACGGGAGCGAATCGCGCCTGTCCTGGCTCGGCGCCCGGGCCCTTCATTGCGGGATCGCTAGGGGAGGGGACTGGGTCCTGCTCCCCTTTCCTGGCCGCAGTTCCCCCTTTCGCGTCACCGTCGCGCCCTCACACCCAAGACAAGTGAGGGAGCCTTGAGACTGCAGCCGGCACATCCCCAGGGCCCTCGGAGCCGTCCTGGGGTTCCGTGTCTTTTGAAGGCAGCAGAACAAGGAAAAGACTCTAAGATTCCAGTGCGTTTTGTGAAAACCAGTTATAATGCCAATAATGACTGAACCATCGAAAAGCAAAATTATAGACAGCTCCTCTGCAGGCGCTCTCGGGTCCGGAGCCGGCGAGGGAACTTGTGTATTTTACAACTGCGAAGCCTATCGGGAATGTGCCAATCGCCAAGGTGGGGCCTGATAGTAATCTTGACAAATGTGTGAAGTGTCAGCTCCTCCTGCGCGCCTTAGCGCCGGGTTTTGTGCAGTTTTGTACCGTATATACCGAGAAACTTGGGAGCAGGGGAAAAATGATTTCGACACACCTGGCTACAGTACCTGCTTCGTTAGCGGGCTGTTGGAGAGAGAGAAGGAGCAGGAATGGGAGCGGGAAGAACGTTGACTCCCAGTTATTGGCGAGGGCGGCCGCTTTAAGAACCACTGTCGGGACTGCCTGCGAAACGCCTTGGAAGCCGCTGTGTGAGCTGCGGCTCCGGGCTGGTGGCCACGCCAGGGTGTCCGCCCTCTTCGACCTGCCTGGATTTTTGTGCTGCAGAATGGCAGGGCAAACAGCGTGTCCTTCACCATCTAGAGCTCCTTAAGGGGCTGTCCAATTCCTGTTGGACTAACCATTTTGAGACTCATTTACTTTTCGTGCCTGGGTCTGTTTGCTGGCTACAGCTTCTTTAGCGACTAAGATGTAATTAAAATATATGAACCAATGCATTGAAAGTTGGTGTTGTTATGTAAGTGGGTGCTGTAGCTTTCCTGAGTGCCTCACAAGGGCGATGTGACGGTGAGAGGGCTCTCGGCTGATGATTCTGCCCACTAGTTCTTACATTTTGTGTTTCTTTGGTTTAGCAGAGCAATTTCTTCCCCCAAATGCAATGTGGGCAGAACATTTGGAATATTCCTTCTAACAATGGCCCCTCAAAAAGTGGGCAGATGATTGTGTCCCAAAACGTTAACGCGTCGATAAATATGTTAATGTTTAATAATAAAAGAGTTTGCTTTCTAAACGGTAGTTGGCTGGCTGGCCTCGATAGTACCAGTTTTGGTGGTAGTGGGCATTTGCGATGACATCACAAATGTCAGAAACTGAAGCCTGGTGGGTGGGGATACTGCACTTTCACCTTTTTGTGCATGCATCTATTAGGAATGCCCAAGTCCTTTCACTGGGAAAAAATGTGGAAATTCTGGGGTGCATGGCGTTTGGGGAGTGGTTCAGGCAAATGTAAATGAGATCCTTGCATAATCAGGGATCAAAGTCCCGTCCCAAAGCCAGACCTAGGTCCAGACACCTCCCCGGAGTGCCTCTACAGTAGTGCTCAGTACAGGTCTAGCATGGAAGGGGAATTGGAGACACCTGGATCAGAAGTTTTCAAGCTCTCTCCCCTCTTTCTGACAGCTGGACTTAGTTGTTCCTCTCCTAAAATCAAATCAAACTCCATCATTATTCCAACTCTGAAGGGAAAAAATATTGTTGGACAATTTCTCTCAATTTAAACATATATTTTAAATAAATATTCCCTCAACACTTGATATGTTTCCATTGTATTATGAGTAGTGCAGGATGATACAGAATTGATGTAACACATTGTTGGCTTGAGTATTTAAGTTTTAATTCATACAGCTTTCATGAAGTTCAAAAGAATGCCATCATTTCAAGTTTTTTCAGTGGTGCTTATAGGGAGCCTAGAAATATTTTATAAGAGACCATGGAAACCATCTAGTCAGACTTTTCTCTTTCTGAATAAGGAGACTGATGCCCAGAGAGGTTAAAAGACTTCTCCAGTCATAAGGAAAATTAGTGCTGATAAGAGTCAGGGCTGGTAGTGGTGGCTCACGCCTGTAATCCCAGTACTTTGGGAGGCCGAGGTGGCGGATCACCTGAGGTCAGGAGTTCAAGGCCAGCCTGGTCAACATGGTGAAACCCCATCTCTATTAAAAACACACAAAAAATTAGCTGGGTGTGGTGGTGGGTGCCTGTAATCCCAGCTACTCTGGAGGCTGAGGCAGGAGAATTGCTTGAACCCGGGAGGCGGAGGCTGCAGTGAGCTGAGATACCACTGCACTCCAGCCTAGGCAACAGAGTGAAATTCTGTCTGAAAGAAAAAAAAAAAGTCGGAATCCTGGTTTATTACTTTCAATTAAGTATGTATGTTCCTATTGTTCACAGGAGAGTACCCCAGCCCAGAAATATCTCTAGATAGTGATGATTTCCAAAGGAGTGTTCTCCCCATCACAACTCTCAAACCGCTGAACCTTATAGAAAGGAGATTTGCTTTTCTAGATAATTAATCAACACCTTTAGGCTGCAGTAGAAGTGATTCTGTTTGCTTCTTGCGGGGGGGAAAAAAAAAAGAAGCAGAGTTGGAATTGATGCTGTTCCCAGTGTCTGTAAACTTTGGAAAGTATGAATTCACTGTTTTAGTTAGAAAAAATCTACTTGTATAGGTAGACCTCATTAAACAAAACCAATGCAAGGACCACTCCCAGTGGAGCACATTGCTGTGGGAGGTAGAGAACATTCAAGCAGCTGCTAGATTTATTTTCATACTGGGTGAGTTGGCATTTTCACTAGAAGTGAAAACCATGAGACTAAGTTTAATTTACTTAGAATGTCCCTCTTCCTTTCTCTGTCTGCGTGTGTGTGTGTGTGTGCGCGCGCAGGAGGGGGTGATTCTCAACTTTCTAGGAATGTATTAAGTGCAGTGTTTAGAAATGGAAGGAACCAATGAGATAATTCTCAGTGCTCCAGGATTTTAGGCTCACACATTTGAAAATA